GGAAGGAAGGAAGGAAGGAAGGAAGGAAGGAAGGAAGGAAGGAAGGATAGCTGACAGCTACAATTTCAGGTAAGAAGAAAATAGAAACCCTCTTATAAATATATCAAGAAAACAAAGTGGCCAGGTATAAAAGGTCAATGAATATAAAATATAAATACTCAAATATGATCAACTTTTCCCATAGCAGCAGGAAAGCAGTATTAAATATAACAAAGCAATGCTAAAATTACAACAAAAAGATAAAGTTTCCCAGATCAATCTTAATAAGATATATTTGAGATTTACATGAAGAAGTCAAAGCTCTATAAAGAAACACAAATAGTTGTTTAAAAGAGAAAAAATAAAATAAGAATATACAAAATAATGCCATAAATGAAATAAAACTAGATATTTAAAGCAAGACTATATAGTAATGTCAAGACCTCTTTGGAGCAAATGCTACATTAAATGCATAGTTCATAGATAAAAGTCTGAAATGTAAGTTGTTCATAAATTCTTTGACAATTAAAAGATTTCTGTGTCCTGATTTTTGCCTTTCACTATTTTTATCCTTCTTAAATTGTTTCTATTTAAAATTAAATGTGTGTGTTTGTGTGTGTGTGTGTAAAGTTACAAATTATGTATAAAATATGTTAGTTATCTGGCTCAGAAATATGTTCATTGCTAATGTCATTTTTTAACATAACTGCCATTTCTTGTTAATTTTGTACAGTTCCTTTGGAAGGACTGAGGAGTCAAAGCCAGTTTGAAGAGATGAGGTCAAGCTACATCCGGGAATTGATCAAGGCAATTGGCTTAAGACAGAAAGGGGTGGTCCCCAGTTCACAGCGCTTCTATCAACTTACAAAACTTCTCGACAGCTTGCATGATGTAAATATTTTTGTCTTACAGATTATTGGTGAAAAGTATGTGAATTTCTTGTCTTAGCTGGGGTTTTACTGCTATGAAGAGACACCATGACCAAGGCAACTCTTATAAAGGAATACATTTAATTGGGGATGGCTTACAAGTTCAGAGGTTCGGTCTGTTATCATCATGGTGGGGAGCATGGCAGTGTCCAGGCAGACACAGTGCTGGAGGAGGAGCTGAGAGTTCTACATCTTGATAAAAAGGCAGCCAGGAGAAAGCTCTCTTCCCCATTGGGAAGAATTTGAGCATAGAGACCTCAAAATCCACCGCCACAATGACACACTTCCTCCAACAAGGCCACACTTCTTCCTATAATGCCATACCTCCTAATAATGTCACTTCCCATGGGCTTTGCATCTCAAACCACCACATTTCTCTAATCTCTAGGTACACAACAAACTCCGGTGGCTCTGTAAGCATTTTCCTTTTTAGAAAGTCCAGGCTCTAAGCCTAGGAAATAGTATCATTAGCCTAATCTCTCACAGCATACCTAGAAGCTAATGAAGAGTAGCCGATCCCTCTTAGATGTATCCACAGGCTTCTCTTCTGGGTCATCCTAGATCTTGTTAGTTGATGACCAATGTCATTCATCACAGTGTGGTTTCCCCAAATTCCTCTTTGGATTTTAAAAGACACCATCATACTGTTGTGTTCAACGTAGACCATGTTGACCAATGTTGATGAAAGTAAAATAAGCTTAAAAATCAACTTGAAGAATAAAGCACCAGGGCAGAAGACAGAAGAAAATCCCCAGATCCTCAAGAAACACAATGGTACTGTGTCAAAGAAAGAACAGAGAGCCTTCAAAAAGGGACAATTAGCAAAATGAACTAAATAAGTAAATAAATGAAATTTTGAGATAATTAACTTCAAAATAGAAGACATTAAAATTCAACAAAAGTCCTGAAATACAAAGGATATTCTCAGTAAAAAAATCATTTAAAACCTATGACATAATCATAATAACCTACGACAAAGAGGAAAAGATAAGAATCTTAGGAGATCAGTCATGTAGATTTCATCCTCAAATTCAACTTAATAGGAATTTACAGAAGAAAAACTACAGTCATGGAAATGATCATAAAAGTTACTGAAATTGAGGGATATGAGCTCTCTTTTTCTCATTTTTTTGAGACATGGATTTATTTGTAGCTTATACTGATCTTCAGCTGGTAGCAGCCCTCCAGGCTTGTATGTCTTCTGTTTGCTAAAGATCTGAGTTTTCTAACTATAAGGGAGCAGAATATGGGCACTGCATAGTTGACTCAAGGTACACTATAAAAGTTTACCATACCAAGAGTGAGAAGACTATCCTAAGCATGCAAATGAGAAAGGAAACAAGTCATATGTAAATTACCAGCATTCTGAATGACATTGGATCTTCATGAATTATGTTGGGTTCTTGACATAGAAACAGTATATTGTTGTGGAAAAGTCTGATTAACAAATAAGATTTATGAAATAGTTGCATTTTGAAAACGTATAACCTTAGGTATTTAATACTCAGTATATCTGTGCATACATGCATTCAAAAGAAAAACTGTTGAAAATTAAATCAAAATGTTCACTTTAGACCATGAGAATGTAGCTAATTTTATTACTTTAAAATGCAGCAGGTTTGGGGCCTGGAGGGATGACTCAGCAGTTACGGTTCACACACATGGTGGCTCACAAGCATCTGTAATTCCAGCTCCAGTGGATCTGATGCCATCTGCTGGGTGCTGGGAACTGTATGCAAGGGATGCACACACATAAGACAAAATAAGTAAATACAATAGTATCAGCGTGCTCCGTTATGCAGACAAAACAGTTTTCATATTACTCTTGAGAATAGAGTTATTTGCATGTTGGTAAGAGCACGCATCCAGACATGTATTTACAGAATTAGAAAAATGTTATCATATTTGAACAGTGTGTGATGTTACTGTTTTTCTCATGTTTTCTACCCATATGTTGAACCACCAGCTTGTGAAACAGCTCCACCTGTACTGCTTGAATACGTTCATCCAATCCAGGGCACTGGCTGTGGAGTTTCCAGAAATGATGTCTGAAGTTATTGCTGCCCAGTTGCCTAAGATCCTGGCAGGCATGGTGAAGCCTCTCCTCTTTCACAAAAAGTGATGACTTTTCTTTGTTTTTTTTTGTTGTTGTTGTTTTTTGTTTTTTGTTTTTGTTTTTGGTTTTTTTTTTTTTTTGCAAAAATTGAATTTTGTGGTGTGTCATCTTTGTCTCAGTCAGGACGGTCAGGTCTTGTGTCTTTATAAAGTCCTTCTGAAAGCCTTACATGTATACATATCACACTGTAAAGTTAGGAGAAAACCAATGAGATTCTGATTTTCCTTTGTAATGTCTAAGCAGAGTTTTTAAAGTGTTTTGTGCACCCATATTTTGAGAGTTTACATGGTTAAAAAAGAAGGACTAAAATTGAATGTATAAGTAAACTATATCTCACCCATGTTATTCTGAACTTTTCAGATGAAGCTCTTTAACTTTTGCATCTAATAGATCTCCATGAGAAGGGAAGAAACACCCTACCTTTAATCACCACAGGTTACCATCCAGGCTACCGCTACATAGTTCCTTTGGGTTCCCTGCTTGCATTTCCAAAAATTACTCTTAAAATGGCAGTCAAAAATGTGATGTGAAACAGATTTTTCAGAGGGTTTTTAAAAACAAAACAAAACAAACAACAGAGGTGAAATGGATTGGTGATTTTAACACTAGGCAAACAGTGTTCAGGGTGCCTGCTTGGAAACATATTTATGACAGAGTTAATGGCAACCATGCAGTTGCTGTGACATTATTGAGGGTGGCTTTAGGGGGAGTATCTTTAAATAAGAAATGTGAATAGACACAAAAATCATGAGGTCTGCTCTCTCGTTGGAATTCCTGCGGTTGGCTGACCTTACAAAGTCGGTCTCCCTTGGTAGTTCCATGTCCTTGCTTTTTAAGAATGATATAACAGCATTTCTCTTGATAAATTCTTCCTTTGGTCATACAGTCTTATTGACACTTTACCAAAGAAGGCTAGGGGAAGGAGGAAGGAAGTCAAGGGTGGGGGATAAATACCATTCCTTTCTTGGGGAAAGTGTTTTTCTCTAGGAAAATATATAGAGTGAATCTCAGGTGGAAAGTATTTTTAGTGCCTCTAAGTCTGAAAGAGATGCTTTAGAAATAGACAAGTCTCAGGTGAAAAGTTTTGAGTGCCTATGACCCAATTCTAAGTGAGATGCTTCAGGAAATCCTAGATACTTGCTTAAATCACACAACCAGGTACAATGATGATAAAACACACAGTTCACTTTGTCATTTCTACTTAAAATATTCTTTTGAAAGACAGGTGATAGTTCTTTTCCAAGATGAGTCACTGGATATATATTAGCTTAAAAAACAATTCACACATATAAACATACACCACTATGGTGTGTCCATAAATAGTGAATTCTTTAGCACATTTGGAAATGGAGACTAATCAGGACCCTTGCCTTGTGTTTTCTTCATGCACGTGGAAATCATAATAACTTACCTGCATAGCAGTACTTTGGTTAGAGTAGTCAAAGTTTTAACTGAGTACTCCAATGCTCAACATTAGGAAATAGATGCTCTTCCAACTGGTCTCCATGCCTCCTTCTGCAATATGTCTGAAATGCATTACATCCTTTACTGGTGCTTGGCTCTTCTTAATCTGCATACACACATGCACACTTCACTTTTCAGGCCAAAGCGTTTGGAATCTGATTCCTTTGGCTGTATTCCTAACACTTATTCTTTAGTTTGTCACCTTACTCTGCTGCTGTTATGTTCCTGTTATGCCAATCCTTATGAAAGAAAACAATTTTCTGCCAGAACTTGACACCATAATCATGCATGTGTCAACCTTCAAGACACACCTTATAATTCCTGTAAAGTCTTTCTCAGTCTCTCATACAGTGATTCAATCCCTCTTCTGTTCCCCAGAAGTTACTTAAATTATAATAATATGTAGCTGCACCATTCTAATGGTCCATAGGTCTAGGGATTGTGTTAAGGAGAGACCATAGTGTTTCTTGACAAAAAGTTGACTGTGACATTTGTCCTGCTGAAGGTCTCCTGAGTGACATTGATAAACCTCTTCTTGTGTCTTTATCACTCATTTTATCTGCAAATTTGTTTCTCTTCATTTCCAAGCTGTATTTTTCCTATCCCGTGATAACTTGCCATCTATTGACTACATCATGGGAGCATATTTTATATGCAATTAGAAGAAAATGGTCTGTTTCCTGTTCTGAACTGAATGAATGGAATATTACTTGCTTCCCTATAAAAGATTCTATAGACAGTTAAGTACTCTGACATTGTTTTATATTGCAAACCTCAATGTAAAAATTTCCCCGCATTTTTTTAAATTTTACTCAACAAATATTTTTGAATGCCTAATGTGAACATAAGAAAATGTGTGAATAAGCTTTAGTAAAACCTGGAGCTAAAGGAAACTGTATATAACTCAAGAAGTTATAGCCCAGGAACTGTACAAATCTAATGTCTGCTAAGTACAGGGCCACTAGATACTTGGGGTATATAAACTACATCTGAAGGTTTGATAGGCAAGGCATTACTTATGTACAACTTGGAGGAGATAAGTGCTAAAAAAGATAGTACTTTGAAATTAATCATTATTTAATCTAGGCAACTGCCAGTAATTCATTTGCTTTAAACTTTTGTGTACATTTGTATATTGGGAAAGCTTTTAATGCCGTTTTCCAAAAATATAATCACAATAAAATATTTTTAAGATCTCTCACATAGAATACCTAGGGAATTTTTGTTCTGTGGCAGTTGTATTCATTGTGAGAGACTGGTAAATGACTATGGCCAAGAACAATGTGATGCGTCCTTTTACTCAAGTAACGGACTCTTAAACACTGGATACAATTATTATTCAATAATTCATTATTCATTATTCAACCAGTTTTCCTTTGAATTAAAGGACTAAATTGATAGTAGTTGTCTTTGTATACCAGCACAGTTTAACTTTCAAAATAATGAAAAGATTCTAATTTTATTCAACAGTGGGGAAATAAAGTATGTTGGCCCCAGACTGGATTTTACTGTGGTCCTTGTTTTGCTGTTGTCTAAAAATATTTGATATTCTTGATCTTGGTCTCCATACATAGTTTAAGTGCCTAAACACCAGGTTTTAATATTTAAGGCTAAGCATAGAAAGAAAACCATTCCCAGAAGAACATGACCAAATGGAAGTTATCTCCTCTCCGAGTCCTTCACTCTACAACTACGCCATGCCTATGTAGTCACTGTAACCTTGATCTCTAGTCTGCAGATCGTGTTCTTTGGGTTGCTTTAAAGTGAAATAAAAACTTAAGAACACAGGAAATAATTGAAGTTTAGATGGTTTGGATTACTGACATATTTCATTTATAAAAGTTAGAAAAACAATTTGTGCCTAAAGAGATGCTGTGTCCAGTATCGTTTTGTGGAACTATTTTGTTTCTGGTGTTTAAAAACGTGACGCATTTAGTTAGGCGATGCTTTTCCCTTGTACTTTTTCACACTTTACTTTCAGTTTTACTATTGTACATGTATGAAATAAAAATATTTTTAAATAGCCACAGCAAATAAACTCATAACTTCTAAATTATTGCCAACTATAGTGACAGATTTGATGTATATAAAGGGCTATCCTATGACTCTGTTCACTTTTTGGTCACTTGCTGGCTACATGAGTATAATATAGAGCTATTTCATTAAGCCTTACCCAACGTCTTTGCAAATAATATGCACAGGATATATATCTGTACACATATATACAGATGTTCAGAAATGGCATTTCCATAATTTCATCTTCATTGTGCCATAATTTTGTTGTAACTTTGTCATGCTAATATGTCTGGTTTCACTAGTGAAACCGGAGATCTGGAGAATCTGGTTGCTCTTCTTCCCCCACTGTTTACTATGAAATATTTTATTAATTAGATATATGTTTATTTATTTTCATGAATAAAATATAGTCCTTTGAGTTTAGGGCCTGATTTTCGTAAGAAATCTACAGAACATATTAGCCTTTGCTCATAATATCTAATAGCAATAGTAATTTTTTGACCTTTCCCAATAACTCTTAAATATCCAGACAGCTTACACAGAGGACAGCTCCCTCACAAATCTCTGTTCTGTGTTAAAAGTTATTCTTGTCATGGCCCTAACTTCATCTCTAACATCTGACAATGGGGTCCAAAACTCATGATGAAATAGCATTGCTATTCTGTTTATAATAAGAGCTCTCCCTGTCCACTTGATCCGATAGCTTTAGTTCCTTTGATAACTGCTACATTTCCTGTTTTTGCTGGAAACACCTAGGCAATTTGCATCCTCTCTGCCCTTGTCAATCAGATTTCAGGATGGAATATGAACCCTTTAAATCTCTTTAAAACTTCACAGTTTCATGTATAAGAAGCACTCAAGACTTAAGAATATGTTTTCAAATGTTTTTACTCCATATTCTTAAAATATATCTTAATTTTTATTGTATAATTCAGCAACCACCGTCATAAGGATAGAAGGAGTTGGACAAGAGGAAGACACTAAGGAAGGCATAACTTTCTTTTTTCTATGATCTGCCTTTCAGACATAGAAAACATAGTCATCTCTTAAATTCCAAAAAAAAATAAATAAATAAAAAGTCCAAAGGTAGTACTCTAGGAAGAGTGCCAACTCCCAAGTTGCTCACATACACTAAACTAGGTCATGCTATAAGTTTCATTAACAGAAGATTGCCAGAAGTCCAGGATGTTACTCTTGTCTTTATTTGAGGGTGGACACCAAGTTCAATGTCTGCCTCTACCTTCAGCCTGCCACTTCTTTAGCATAACATCATTTCATATCCTCTGGCCTTTAAAGTAAAAATATGTAGAAATCCATAGAGCAGTTAACTGTCCATCCACAGGATAGAATACAAATGGATAGGAATTGTGCTTTACATTATGAATGAATTCAAGTTGAACAAGACCAGATTTAGGTTGAAACCCACATTTACTTAGCCTCAGGGTTTGGGAGGACCCTGCAGACCAGTTTCTTGCACTACCCTTCTCCAAAGTTTGTTCTTCAAAATTAAAGCTAAATGTTGGTTG